CCTTCAGGGTGGGTGCTTCGTCCCCCCACCGCGCCCCAGGACGCAGGGCCTGAAGCCCGGGCTCTGGCGGCCCACCAGCCTGGCCGCCCCTCCTGGCTGACCGCTGTCCCTGCCCCCACTTCAGTTTGGCTTGGCCTTCGTGCGGCCATGTCCTCGGAGCCTCTGCGATGCCCCTTTTCTGACTCAGTCCTGCTGGTCCTCGGGTTCTGGGCCTTCCCAGCCCTTGGAGATCTCCCAGCAGGGCAGGCACAGGGCTCCAGCCCAGGCTCGCCCTTGAGCATGCAGAAGCACTCAGGTCTGTGGGTGTGATGGGGTGTCCCCTGCTGCGTGTGACCCTGGCCAAGTGCTTCCCCTCGCTGGCCCTCTAGAGCCAAAGCTGTGGCCTCTGACCATCTCCAGAGCCCTGCTCAGCCCCAGCTCTCCAGTGTCAGCCTGCAGAGAGCGAAGGACCTCAGTTCCCTGGAGGACAGCTAGCTTCCAACCCAAACCTGTCCCGCCTTGCTGTGTCCCTGGGCGAGCACGTCCCGCTCGCCCTCGCTGAGTCTATGTTCTCACTGGCAAATGGACAGGAGCCAGCGATTCCAGGCCCTGTGGGGGGTGACAGTGGGGATGAAGGGAGGGGGCAGGGAGAAGGGCGGCCGTGCCCTGCACACGCCAAACTAGTGCCCACCTCAGCTTCTTCTCCCTGCAACACCACTGCCCCAGGTGCCTTGCCTGGCTCACACCTCTTCTCCTTCACTTCACTCTGAAGTCACCTTGCTGAGTCCTTCCCTGCTTTGCACCTCACTGATGAGGGCAGAGGCGTGCCCACAGTCCCCAGAGAGAACAGGGTGACAGCCTTCAGAAAGCAGGCAGGCTTCCCAGGGAAGGGGGAACTTGGGTAGGGTAAGGTCTTGAAGGATGAATAGGAGTTTGCCGGGTGGAAAAAAGCCATTCCCAGCCTCTTCTCCCCAGTAGCCCCAACCTGACCAAGCTTCTGAGCTATCCTGGCTGCTCATCAGCTAACACCACCAGGCTGCCCAGCATCGTTTCAGACAGAGCTGGTCACAAACTTCCCCGCTGCAGCCCTGAGGCCCTGCTGGTCAGTGGGAACTGAGTGGCTGGGAGGTCATCAGCACTGGTAACTGTCACGCAGATGTTTAGGAAAGTCAGGCTTCCTCCCGCAGAGGGCTGCCCATCCCTCTCTCCATTTCTCTGTGGCAAAGCGCTTCCCATGCTGTTGACCCTCCTGGCCCTCAGCACCTTGCTGCTGGCAGTGTGGCAGGCCGGGCAGACGCCCTGGCTCACTGGGGAATTTAAAGGGGAGACCGCGTGCCAGCAGCCCTGCCCACCCTCCTCCTTTGGAATTAGTTGCGACTAGAGCTCTGGTTTTAAAAAGGAAAAGCAGCCAACTTGGCAGCTCTGGATGTCTTCTTGGGATGCGGCAGCCCCCGCAGACAAGGCCCTTTCTCCCCAGTCTCCATGTCCCTCGAGCCACTGCACCATTTCCGGGTACCATCTGGGGTCTGACTCCCGGAGGCCTGGTCTAGATGGATCACATCAGTAACAGCAGCTCCGACTGAGGTTTGGGCCCTGGGCTACATATCTGGGAGCCCTAACTCAACCCTCACAGCCAGCCTGAGCCACAGAGGGAGAAACGGGGGCACAGAGAAGCAAGCACATCTGCCCAAGACTGCAGAGCGGGGAAGGGAGAGCTGGGATTGGTGCCTGGGCAGTGCAGCCGCAGGGTCTGCAGTCACCCTTGGCATGCTGAACTGGCACCCCCACTGCCACCCCACCCCAGAAGGCACCGGCCCCCTCCTCCCCAGGCCTCCTCACCTTTGATCTGCTCGCTGTTCCCCTGTGGGGGTCCCAAGTCCAAGAACAGTCGTGGCATCTCGGGGCCCTTCCTCTCGGGCTTGGAGGGGCCCCCGTCTCCGCTGGGTGCCGTGTCTCCGACGGCTCTGCTGTCTGGGACCCCAGGCTCTCCCTCGGGGGCCACCTCCGGCCTGACTCTCGGAGGCACTGGCTCCGGCCT